CACCCCCCACCCCCCGCAAATAAACCTCCCTTTTAACTACGTGGAGTTGCCTTAATACTTCCACCACTACTTATCCCATTCCCTCCCCAGGCCACCTCCCCACCATCTCTCACTCCACCCCAAATCCACCCTCATAAGACTTGCGGCCCAGGACTGTGAGGACAGAGGAGAATCATTTCCCAGGAGTACCTGGAAATCAAGAGGAAGCAGGCTGCAGGCAGCCCACAAGGCCTGACTCCCAGGCTCAGATGTGAAGCTGGACTCCTCCTGGTCCAGGATGCAGAGCAGGCTGCAGTCCGGCAAGTCCAAGCCGTCTCTGGTCCTCCCACTGGCGGGAGAAACAACACCTGGACAGACTCACCAGATGTGGGTGTAATGGGTCCCCCCAAATCCCAGCATCGTTCTACACCCCAGCAGGTTATAGCCTTTGGCCTGCCTCTTAGACAGGAAGTTAGCTTAGATTCTAAGTCAGAAGCCCAGAATATCTGGCTTAAATAGAAGAGAAGCTGTTTATCCTTCAGCGTGGTTCATATAAGCTACCGAGGGTCTGGCTCCTCAGCAGAGAGACGGATCCCCACAGTCTCGTTGACTGTATCATTGTGATACGTCACAGTGACCGCCCTTGAGAAGGAAGGCTGCACAGGATAGGGTGTCTCCCTCCTGGTGCCCCCAGAGCCTGAGCAGGTCACTGGGTTGTCTGTGAGGTTGGCTGAGAGCTGAACTCCCCGGGTGCATCTTGAAAGGCTTGACTCTGCTCCCCAAAATGGACAGAGGTTTGTGGGGTGAATAGCTAAGTGGCAGCCTCAGTTCTGCCTGACAGGTGATACCAAGGAGCTGTGCCCCAGAGCTTGGCCTGGCCAAGGGGCCTGAGATGAGAGAACAGTACCGAGGCCTATGGCTATACCTCAGCTCTGCCGAGAGAAACAGCCAAGGGTCTAGAGCCACAGTGTGGGAGAAAAGGGGGCCGGAAGGTAAAAAAAAAAACAAGGTAACTCAGCCATTAAATCCATGATCAGGCCTCAGTCATCGCCCCCGCCCCTCCCCTCCACTCCTGCCCTGGGGGCGGGGGTGTTGAGATTGCCTTCTTCATGAGATTTTGACAATCAAATGCCCTAGTCTGCAAATGCAAGTGCTTTTAGGGACAGAGACACTAACATGTGGTCAGCCAGGCATGGCGGGATTTGTAATCCCATGAAGGGACACTGAGGCAGGATTGATGTGAGTTCCAAGGCAGCCATGAGAGACCCTGACTCAAAATAAAAGGCTGCGGGGGGGGGGGGGGGGGGGGGGAGATAGAAAGAGAGAAAAAGAACAAGGCCAGCAAGACGGTTGAGTGGGTAAGGGGACTTGCTGACAGCCTGACAGCCGAGGACTCCGGCAACCGGCATGGCGGAAGGAGAGAACCGACCCCTGTAAACCATCCTCTAATCTCCATGCATGCATGCACTGTGGCCTGCGCGTGTGTGCGTGCACGCGTGCATGTGCGCGCACGCGCAGACACACACACACAATAAGTAAATAAACGTTTAAAAGACAGAGAAAGAGCAAGCAAATGCAACATGCATGCCGTGAGACAGACCCTCGCTGAGGCCGTACTGTGGGAATTCGATCCGTTTAACCCAATGGTACTGGGGTGACTAGCCCTATGGGGAGTGGTCTTCTCTGAGTACGTGACTGGATAAGAACTGAGGAGGAGGGTCCCACACTGTGGGACATGGAGGTTTCCCTGATGCCACATTTCGGTGAGCTGTTGGACGAGGAGGCAACGGTGCACTTCATTCCGTATTCGTGAGTGCGGTAACTCCCATTCATCCCGTAATAAATTATTGACCAGACTTCTGTGGGTTATCACTTTACCTGATGCCCAATGTGGGGCACGAACCCACGACCCTGAGATTAACAGTATCATGCTCTACCGACTGAGCTAACCCCTCCCAGGGCTTTGGAAAGACGGAATAGGCCTGGGTACACAGTGCCTGCCTCACACGCTCCACTGGAGGCCGAGGGTGGCAGCGCTCTGCTGGTGACTAATCTCATTAGTGGTAATCCTCACCCTGATGCTCATTAATATAATAAGGCTGGGTTTGCAGGCCCAGCCTGGCGGCTCTGGGCTCCCATGCTGGCTGGAGCATCTCATCTCTGCCTGGCAGGGGGTAGTGGGTGGGAGGGATAGGGGCGGGGAGGAGGGGTGCTCCGTAAACAGTCCTCTCGCCCCTGGGGAGACCTAGAAAAAGGAGCTGCAATTCCAAGCGCGTAGCTCAACTCTGCTCCCCCAACTCTGCTCCCCCCCGCCTTCTGCAAACATGATGTCACAGTGTGCTCCTACACACATTCAGACACACGTGTGCAGGGCTTTCCAAAGCCTTTGCCGACCATTAATAGCTGTGCTGGCCAGTCTTATGTCAACTTGACACACAAACTAGAGTTATCTGAAAGGGGGGAACCTCCATTGAGAAAATGCCTCCATAAGAGCCAGCTACGAGGCATTTTCTTTTTTTTTTTTTTTTTTTTTTTGCCTCTTGTTTTTCGAGACAGGGTTTCTCTGTGTTGCCCTGGCTGTCCTGGAACTTGCTCAGTAAACCAGGCTGGCTTCGAATTCAGAGAGACCTGGCTGCCTCTGCCTCCCGAGTGCTGGGTGAAAGAGGTGAACCACCACTGCCCAGTGGTGTGAGGTATTTTCTTAATTAGTGATTGATGTGGGAGGGGCCAGCCCATTGTGGGTGGTGCTATCTCTGGCTGGTAGTCCTGGGTTCTATAAGAAAGCAAGCTGAGGGCTGGAGAGATGGCTCAGGGGTTAAGAGCACTGGCTGCTCTTCCAGAGGTCCTGAGTTCAATTCCCAGCAATCACATGGTGGCTCACAACCATCTGTAATGACATCTGGTGCCCTCATCTCGCCTGCAGGGATACATGCAGGCAGAACACTGTATATGCAATACATAAATCTTTAAAAAAAAAAAAAAAAATCAAAAAAGAAAGCAGGCTGAGCAAGCCAGTAAGCAGCATTCCTCCATGGCCTCTGCATCAGTTCCTGCTTCCAGGTTCCTGCTCTGTTTGAGTTCCTGTCCTGACTTCCTTTGGTGATAAACAGTGATTTGGAAGCATAAGCCTAAAAAACCCTTTCCTCCCCAACTTGCTTTTTAGTCACGGTGTTCCATCACAGTAATAGTAATCCTAACTAAGACAAGAGCAATGCTCACAGGATGAAGCCCTCTGTCCTACAGAGGACTAGGAACTTCCCGCTGGCCAGCACCCAGCATTGTATGACTCCAGCCAGGCTAAGAGTGACTCCCTGTAATGGTCTTTGCAGCTGAGGAGGGACAGAGTATCTACCCACTGGAGGGGGCGTGCCCACAGGAGGAAGTGGCTCAGTGAAGCCATGTCCTCTGCCTAAGAGCACACAGAGGGGAGGGGATTCCCATTGCTCTTTTAAAGACCAAGAACAGAGGTCCAGAGAGATTCAATAAATTGGCTAAGGCTACTCAGGGACTGGGAGCCGGGGCTCGAGCAAGCCCCTGGGCCTCACCAAGGAAGAGCCTCTGAGGCCTTCAGCTTCAGACGGAAGCAGTGGACTGGGACAGAGGGACAAGTTACTCAAGAGGCATCAGCCCACCCGGGTTTCTTCCAGGTCAGTGTATGCCAGCACTTCCTAGCTGTGTGTTCCTGGACAAGTCACACCGCCTCTCTGTATCGGAGTTCTGTCAGAATGCAGATAACACCCGGTCTTTAGAGAGAACGCTCCTGGCTGGGGCTATTCTGCAATTTCACTGTATTCTCACCATAGTCTTCCAAAGAAAACATCAATGAGTCTATTTTCTGTCAGAGCTGGGCTTGAACCAGGAACTTCCTCTTGCTAAGAAAACACTCTACAATTGAGCCACATCCTCAAGGCCTTGAATCTATGGTTTTCGCTTTGCTTTGATTTGGTTCTGTGAGACTGGATCTCAAGTAGCCCAGGCTAGCCTCAAACTCACTCCATAGCCAAAGATGACTTAGAACTCCTTTCTAATCTTCCTGCCTTTACTTCTTGAGCAATGGGTTTATAGGCATGTGCCTCTATGCCTGGTTTTGTGTGGTCCTGGGGATTGAACCCAGGGCCTCATGCATGCTAGACAAGTGCTCTACCCTGGAGCCACCCTGGCCCCTTGAGTCTATGATTTTTAAGAGTGGGTTAGTCCAAAGGTTTCATTACTCTGGATTCTCTGGGGCCAGAGGCTCCAGCCGTCCCTGCTTCCCAGGGTTAAAAGATTTAATGGGCTGGTAATTGCTGAGCCTTGAGGGCAAGAGGTAATTTATCAGCCCTCAGCCAGCCTAGAAGGCCACCACCATTCACCCCTGCCTCTCCCGCTCCTTCAACTGTGACATCACAGCCAGGCCCAGGGAGAAAAATTTGTCTCCATGACATGGCCTTGAGTTTAGAGCTAGTAAGAACTGGAGGCCACCAGAGTATCTGGTGGGTGACAAGGGGCCCTGTGGAGCTGTCCCTGGCTCCTGCCCAGGCCTCACACACAATGGAAGGGCCTAGCCAAGCTATGTCCAGCCCAGCCACTCCCTTAGCCAGAGACACCCAGACTCCACCCACCCAGAAGAGCCTCAGAGAGGAGGCACGGAGGAAAGGGAGACAGAAAGGCAGGGATTCCCACACCCTGCTCTGCCACAGCTGTCCCCACCTGTCACCTCTGCCCAGGCTCCTCTCCTTCTGACCCGCATCCCTTTATGAGCCCTTCAAAGCCAGCTCAGGTCCCTCCTCCTCTAGGAAGGCATGTCTGCATGTTCGGCCCCTCCCTCCCTTCTGGGTGGCTTCTGGTGCCTGGGTGTGACTCAGACTTCAGCTTCTCCTTTCCAGGTTTATTCTTGCAATGAGGGACCTGGAACTTGGGATTGTTCTGCCTCGCCCTCCTGAATTCTGGGTTACAGGTATGTACCACCACGCCCAGCTCCGTCATGCTCAATGTCATGTTCAAAACTTCTCACAGGGCCTGGGCATGGGAGAGACCTGTAATCTTAGTATGGTACCCTGGAGGCTGAGCCATCTTGGGCCACAGAGTGAAACCCTATCTAAAAAAAAAAAAAAAGAAAAGAAAAGAAAAACAAAAGCAAGCACCTTCTCCAATTCCTGTACCAGGCCTTTGTCTTTTTGTCTGGCTTCAATTCCTGCCTTTGGTCCATGCACGAAGTCTTGGCCAGATGAAGCACAGACCTGCCTTCCTACAACACAGGCTCTAGATGATCCTTCTGAGGCTGTGGCAGTGGAGACCCTGTCCTGATCCCAAGAGGCATGCCTGCACACTTGTGCATACGTGTGTGTGTGTGTGTGTGTGTGTGTGTGTGTTCATGTGCATGCACGCGCACACACACACACACACACACACACACACGAACGCACACACGCACACACGCAGGCACGCACGCACGCACGCACGCACGCACGAACGCGCACGTGCACATACACACATATCCCAGCTCACACCCTAGGCTGCCACCAGGGAGCCCACTGGGGTTGCATGGTCCTAATGCCTGGAGCATGTGTGGTCACCGTGGACAGCACCAGGGGGCACGACCTGGGACACCTGAGTCTTTTACACAGAAGAATTGCCGAAATACCACCTGCACGCCCACTTCTAAAAGTGTTTTTGAGCTGGGCAGTGGTGGCACACGCCTTTAATCCCAACACTCAGGAGGCAGAGACAGGCAGATCTCTGTGAGTTCGAGGCCAGCCTGGTTTACAAAGCAAGTCCCAGGAAAGGCGTAAAACTACACAGAGAAACCCTGTCTCAAAAAACCAAAAAAAAAAAAAAAAAGTTTTTGAGAAACAACAGGGGAGAGGCACTGATGATCACTGTCCAAAGACTCTAACAGTCTATGTGGGGAATTAGCAGCCCAGCCTCTTATTTCCCTGTGGGCTGTACAGAAAGCATGCACGCACTCGGGCACACACACAAGGCAGCTTATGAACTCCAAGCCCATCGGCATGGCATTCCTTAGGTTCCCCAGTAAACCTCAAATTCCAGCCACTCTGGAATTTGACTCTGACTTTGTCCATCTTCACACATGCTGAAGCGCTTTACACAATCCTGTCTCTCTTCCTTTCATAGAAAACTCCTGAACAGCCTTCAAAACCCAACCAAGTTGGGTGTGTTGGCACAGGTCTATCATCCCAGCTCCTCCAGAGGCTGAAGCAGGAGGATCACAAGTTCAAGGTCAGCCTGGGCAACTTAGTAAGATCCTGTCTCAAACTGAAAAATAAAAAGAGAGCGAGGCATGGTAGTGCACATCTGTCATGCCAGCAGGTAGGAGACTGAGACAGGGGGACTGCTTCAAGTTTGAGGCCAGTCTAGGCTTCATAGTAATGTAAGACTAGCATAGAGAACTGTGGAAAGAAAGAAAGAAAGAAAGAAAGAAAGAAAGAAAGAAAGAAAGAAAGAAAGAAAGAAAGAAAGAAAGAAAGAAAGAAAGAAAAGAGAAAGAAAGAGAGAGAGAGAGAAAGAAAGAAAAGAGAAAGAAAGAGAGAGAAAGAAAGAAGAAAAACTCATCTAACATCTAACATACGCCAGAGGCACTGTTCTAATTGCCTGACACTAACAGATGCCTGAACCATGCCTGGCAAGAGGCACCGTGCTACTTTACAGGGGAAGAAGCCAAAGCTAGGGATATGAAATGACCCCACCCCCACCCCCTTGGACAACCAGGAAGGACCTGTGTCTACTGGCCTGTGCTCCCTTCTTACATCATGTCTGGCTGGTGAGGGTCAGCAGCAATATTTACAGCAAGGCATGATGGGACTCTAAACCTGGCAGGCCCTTGGCAATGGGCTGAGGGAAAGAGACGAATTACACACCCTTCAAAGACGGTGTCATCGTCCCAGAAGCTGGGTCAGGAGTTCCCAGGAACCTAGGCACCAAGACAGTGTCATGATCCCAGGAACCTGGGGAGGCTCGGCCTCAGGAAGGATCCTTCTCATTATTCTGTGGAAGCAGTCTCTGAAGCCATGGCTGTCTGTGAGCATCTGTGCAGATTCACCACCATCAGAGACTAGCTCGAGGGTTGCTTTTCTTACATGGAAAGAGAATGGGGCCATGGAGGTGCCGACCAACTGGAAACGGGTGGTATGAAGTTGATGACAGTATGACACTGGGAGGTGACGTCAGGGACAGAGGGTAAGCAGCTCTGTCTCTAAAGGGACAGGACCCCCTCCAGTTCCCCTTGGTCCCTGGGAATGAATTTGTTCTTTGTTAAAAAGCAGAACTCTCTTGTGGACAAGTTAAAATACATACATAGGGCTGAGATGTAGCTCAGCTGGTAGCATGTTTGCCTAAGGCTCTAGGTTCAAGACCTAGTACTATAAGATATAGATATAGGTATAGATATAGATGATATAGATATAGATACAGATGATATAGATATAGGTATAGATATAGGTATAGGTATAGGTATAGATATAGATAATAAAGAAACATATATGTTTTTATGAATGTAAGGCTAGAAAGATGGTTCAGTGTCTGCACAAGCATAAGGACCTGAGTTTGGATCCCCAGAACTCACACAAAAAGCCAAGCATGAAAGTTTACATCTGTAACCCCAGCACTGAGGGTGAGCAGAGAGCAGAGACAGGCATATCTCCAGAGTTCAGTGACCAGCCAGTCTAACTGAAATGGTGGGTCCCAGGTTCAATGAGAGAGGGAGACAGACAGAAAAAAGATAGATGATGGATAGATAGATAGACGATACATACATATATGATAGATGGATGGATGAATGGATGGATGGATAGATAGATAGATAGATAGATAGATAGATAGATAGATAGATAGATAGGTAGGTAGGTAGGTAGGTAGGTAGATAGTATACGATACATACATATATGATAGATGGATGAATAGATAGATAGATAGATAGATAGATAGATAGATAGATAGATAGATAGATAGGTAGGTAGGTAGGTAGGTAGGTAGGTAGGTAGGTAGGTAGGTAGGTAGGTAGATAGATAGATAGATAGATAGATAGATAGATAGATAGATAGATAGATAGATAGATAGATAGATAGATAGATAGATAGATAGACTGTCTTAAAAAATAAAGAAGGGGGCTGGAGAGAGAGCTCAGTGGTTAAGAACACTGGCTGCTCTTCCAGAGGTCTTGAGTTAAATTCCCAGCAACCACATGGTGGCTCATGACCATGTCTAATGGAATCTGATGCCCTCTTCTGTCAAGTAGTATCGAGGACTATGGGGGTCCAGCCCCTTGATAGTCCCCTCCCAGGGTCCGGGAAGAATCTACAACCAGCTGA